CTTATTAATATGTTTTCAGCATCATTGATTTGTAACGGAAGTTTTGTATCAATTTTATTTGGCGAGTATAACTGTATGAGTACATCGTAATACGAATTATAAGCAGAGTTGAAGTTGAAATAGCATTAAAATGCCTAACCGTTATTAGTCAAGAGTAAAACTTTGTAAAGGAGTAGAAAATGTCAGATAATAAAAAGGTGGATTAAGGTCATGAGTTTTCACTGAGATTCTCTTACTGCTGTTAAGAGCTCTTCAAATGCGCTTCAGAGATGGCTCAGAACTGTTCTGTATAAAAAGCAGTTCCGAACATTACTCATTCCGCAGCCTAGTCATTTTCGCCTAGTTTTCATGATGCAGGAAGAATTCCTGTTTTGATGGGATTAGGTGAAATTTTGTACGCAAGTAAAGTGCATTTCCGTAGTCGGTATCGTTTAACAGATTGCATTGGAGGTTAGTTTTTCATGTAATAGCTAAAGCGAATATCGGAACTTGCAACAACATGCTGCAGGTGTATTTTACTGATTCAAGCAGACGGTAAGTAATGTAATTTAAGGCAGCATAATAAGCTTGAGTATATTATTTTTTCAAAGGCACTGTGGGCTGCCTTAGCGAATGGGATGCATTTTCCTTTCTAGTACCACGTGAGTCTGCGTAGGGGCACGTTTGAATAAGATTAGGTCCCATCGATATGGATCCTCGTTACTGTTTAACCGTATTTACGAGAATCCGAGCGCTGGATTCCCCTGATTAATGCCGAAGTAATGGCAATCGCCTAAAATTATTTTGTTGACTCATACGAGAAAGCTACTTTTTACCACTGTGCCTCTTTCCAAACTATGTAATTTTTTGCATACTGATCCCACTTTCGTCTGTTGCTCGAATACCGCCTTTCTTCTGCCTGGACCACAGACCAGTCCATAGCCGTTTAACAGTTTTCCGACAGTAAAAATTGGAGTTTAAATTTAGGCCTGCCGCTAGTTGTTTTCAGATGTCTGCAGCCGTTAGTACTACTCTGTACTACTCGGGAGTCTTACTTTTTAACCTTGTCTACGTTAACCTTTTTTGTCTGGAGTAGTTCTGCCGGGCATAACAACTTTTTTTGATTTTTTTGATTGTTCTCTGTTTACCATATTAAGCTCCATTGTTTTAAACAAAACAGAAGACGAAATGTTGAAAATCTATGGTGTTTGGACGCTGATCTTCCATCTTTCCTCAATGCGGTCATAGTTTTGCGTATTGCTTCATTTGAATGTTTTTTTTCAGCTCATCTTCTTTGTTTGGAGGCATTATTAAGATTCTTGTCTCACTTCAGAGTGCACTGGAGTTCTAAAACACCTCTGCATTCAATAGGTTTCAGAGATGAATTGGTGTATTCATTTATCTTCCATGTCAAGTGGTTTAGCAATAATAGTTTATATTTGTTCAGAATTGCCTATTTGCTTCAAACCTGCCACACTTCGATCAGGCACTACGCTTATAAATTTTCCGAAAAGTGGGAACTGCAGCTGACCTTTAGCCATTTTAAGGACTTTAGAAAGCAGAACTTTAGGGTGTTGTCAGTTTGGTAGGCTGCAAGTGTACATACATGTATGTATGATTTGTTCATTAAAATTTATCACTTTTATCTGTGTGTGTAGAAGATTCGATTCAATTTTCTTTTGTATAAATACACTTTGGGGTTTTTTTCACAGGGATTTCTAACACAAACACTGAGAGACTGACATTTTTGGAAGTTTTGAGGATATGATAGCAGTATTTTATATGTTTATTTGGAGAAATTGTTGAGCTTTAAAACTTCTTTGCAGTTTTTATTTGATGAGGGCAGATTATTTTAGAAATTGTAAAAATTGGTTCTTTGTTTTCAGTATGTACATTTCTTGTGAATTTTTTTATGTTTTTTATTTCTGTCCCATTTTTTTCTTATTCTTGAGTGGTATTAAAATACCTTTCAAATTGTCATATGAGTACTGTCTGTATGCTCACGTGATAATCAGGTTTTTTTATTTTATGCCGTTCTTTTGGTTTCTTCTCTGCATGCCGATCTTATTTTCTTACAAGTCATATCAGAGATGTCACCAAAGGTGTTGTGCTGTGAGCGAAAAAAAGTATACCACTTTGTTGATGTGCCAGTAGTATTAGTAGATTTGAGTGCTCACGCCCAGTGACATTCAAAGCAGGTTAACTGGAAGTTTTGCCTCCTATCTTTAATTCATAATTGCTTAGTGCAGCATTTTGAAATTACTGTTAACCACGAGAGGCTGAGGTAGCTCCATTTAGAGATGACCGTCTCTGTAGTTGTAAGTACAAGAAGCTTAAGGAATAGATTTAAGAAAGTCCCGTCCAAGGTCAGTTTAATGCTGATAGAACGATGGCAATCATTGGCAGTTTTTATTCTGTTCATCATTCTCCTATGGTGCACGGTAAGTTTAGAAGCAGTAATTGATAGAGCGTAGTAACTTCGATAGATCTTTCTGTTACATTTTCAATTTTGAAGGAACTTAGGCTTACGATGCCACGCGATTTATGTCTTTGTTATTATTGTTTGGGGTCCTAGTTACTGTATTGGGGGCTTTTTTTTTTTTCATTTTTCATGGCCTTGATGGTTGCTGTCGAAGATTTTAAGGCTCATTGTAGCGATAGGGAAAGAATTGGACGCTTTAGTTCTTTTTTACCAGTAACCAGTGTGGGGAAGTCTAAGAACCATTTTCATCGTTTTTAGAGAGCACTTTTTCAAAAGCTTTTTTTTGACACGCTAAGTAAAAGTGGTTTTGCAGCGGTTCTTGAGCTTTTCGAATCAGAATTTCGCCAGTAAACAAGAAGATGAGTTGGAGAGCTTGGGAATTCGGCGAAGTAAATTCTGGATATATACTGCTTGGTTCGGTTGTACATTCATTGCCGTAGGAAGTATTATTTATCTCATTGATCTAATGGTACCTGATGCTCGTGTTTTACGAGACAGCAGGCATTATTACTCTACTTGGAAGGTAAAGTTACATTTTGTTTACCATGTATTTTTTATTTTGAAGCCAGCATTATAAATTTCGTTGAAAAATGGAATGTTTGCTAGGAACGCAACTGTATTTGTTTGTAACATTGGAATGTCTTGAAGTTACTCTATAAGAGACTATTGCGTAACTTTCAGTTGCGAGCTTATTGTTCTATGCCCCTAAATGCCATGTCAAGGTTTTCCGGAGGCATCGCTAATGCTTATATTCCAGTATGGTTAAGGCCGACTATACTTGGTTGGTTTTTGTATGTTTATTTGGAGTAGCGAATTGTAAATTTGGCTTTCTCTCAAGTTATTCTTCTTTTTTACTTTTCCAGGACTTCTCTGATATTTCAGATGTGTCTTTTACAAATTCTAGGTGATGTATTATTTTTGTACGGGTAAAAAACCGTTATACGACCATTTTATTGAAAGATTCAAGTTTTTTTGCACGTGGAGATGTAGAATATTCAGCAGCTTTTACCGTAGGTATGTATGTAAAAGCTTACCACTGTCGTATGGATGAAGCTTTGGTGGACGATCTTAGAGAATATCCGACACTTGCTTCATTGTTCAATAGAAAACTGAAACCAAGCGTTCGGCCAATAAGTGACGCAGAATTGGTGGGTTAGATGGGTTTTTGATAACAGCTGCTTGTTACTGTAAGGACAGGAAAATCTTTGAGTTTCCAGTAGAGTAGGGCTTACAGTTTAGGTTTCTCCAGCAGATGGAGTAGTCGTTCATTACGGTAAAGTTAATGATGGGAGGATTGAATTCGTTAAAGGTCAGGACTATGCGCTGTCAGATTTCCTTGGACCTTTAGAGTTGGAGCAGGCATTCGAGAATACTAAAAAGGTTAGAGCCAGTATTTTTAGTTGTCACTTTTCATAGTGAAATAAATTTTGTTGAGAACCATAGTAAGATAGTCGCTGTCCTCTAACTGTAGCCAATTTTTCTGTAAACCGGCTTTTTTTTTATATTAGTTGAATTGATGAGATATTTTTAAGTCATTCTGTTGGCGGAATACTCCGTTCGTTGGCGTAATAAATGAATGCATAATGTTTTTTCGAATTGTTTTGGAAGATTCCATTTTGGTTGAATAGCGCTCTGTAAACCGGAAATTCGCCCGGAAAAAGAGCAAATATTTTGGTGGGGTCAAAAAAGCTCAGTTGTAAGAACCTTCTTTTCTACGCAAATATATTTTCTTCATTAATTTGGTAGAAATGACAAAGGAAATAGATCATTGATAGGTCTTTTGATTTTATTTACCTCTTTAGAGGAGCATCTTTGTATGAAACGGCATTAAAAATGGTTCTGTCAGGATGAAATGTATTTTATTACTGGCTCATGTCTATCGAAAAGTTATAAAGAATCAATTATTGGCTTTTTTCCTTGTATAAGTCATTTTTTTCTCAAAATATGCTGTGAATTTATCATTATTTAGGGGTTAACAGAATTATATCAAATAGTTATTTACTTGGCTCCTGGCAATTATCATGCTTTTCATTCTCCTGCCCAATGGACAATGCAGGAAGAAGTCCACTACCCTGGTACGTTTATTCATTTTTTTGTTAAGGTTTTCTTGTGTAAACGATTTCAAAAAAGTTAGTTTGAAAGCTCTGCACTGTATCATATTTTTTAATTCAGGTTTGCTGCTTTCTGTTCGACCATCGCTCTTGGATCGGCTACCGAAGTTGTTTTGTATGAACGAGCGAGTAGTACTAAATGGTTGTTGGAGACATGGTTTTTTTTCCCTCATTGCTGTTGCTGCAACAAATGTTGGAGATGTCGCCATTGACGTTGTGAGCTTCTAATCTTTATATTATTTGCCTGTACTCTCTTATGCTTCTATTTTTATTTCGCTTTAAAAACTTATCTGATTTTTAGATTAGGAAGATGTGATTAATAAAAATTTTGGGAAAAGTACAAACTTCTTTTTACTTCATGGTTAGACTCCTACCTCTTATAGAATCGATGTCTATGAGCAATTTTTCGGCACTTCATGATATTGAATGGAAACGTGAAATTACGGTTAAATCAATTTTCTTTTATATGTTTGATTAGTTTAGGATCCAGAGCTTCATACAAACTTAAAAAAGATTCAGAGAGAGGACCCAGCATTAGCAAGCTACGTGAAAATTAACCATGCTTATTATCCTGGAGAAAGAATAGGTGAATTTCGGTTGGGATCTACAGTTGTTTTAGTAAGTGTTTATTTATGCTAAAAGTGATGTAGTTTTGCTTTTAGAGTCGTTTTATTGAGCAGTTACAATTGTTGCATTAAATGTTTTTCCCTTCTAGGTTTTTGAATCTCCCGATAGTATTAACTTTGCGTTCAAAGCGGGTGACCATTTACGTTATGGACAAAGTCTAATCAAGACAGATCTTTAAACCACATCGTTGATCTATTACAAGGCTTTTGCAGCACCTTTAGAACAGGCACTCTGGTGCATTTTTTGTTTTTAAAGGAATGAAAAACAGCATACAAGTTATTTAGTATAAAAATAAATGTTTATGAAGACTGCTTTTCAAAAACAGATGGCACTTTTGAAATTTGTGCTATTCTTCAGTCAAGTGGAAGACATGTCCTTGTAATATTTTCTCACGTTTATATAAAATTGCCATTTTTTAGTGTATTTTTCCTTGGTCGAATGAAAAGTACATTTGTGCTTGTAATCCTAACTCACCGCTATGTAAATTTAAGGTGTACAGTGCTCTCAGTAAATTTCTCGCATTATGTACCAACTTTGTTCAGGTTGCAAATAAATTCCGTGTAACGGCTAGTCTTGCCCTTTACATTTTGTGGCTTATTTGCAAGCCTATTGCAAGTTTAATTTTTTTTTCAGCTGCCGTAGTTTGATTTGTATTGTTTGTTAACTTAGTTTGCAGATTCAGCAGGAACGTTATTGATAGATATTTTAAGAAGCAAAGTTTAATAAGTTGCGGAACTAAAAGTCCTATGCTTTGATGATAATCGTTGTTCAGTTCCAAGCTCCTTTTGACTATTGAGATTGATTTGATAATTTTATAGTTCCTCTTCATCTTAGAGATGTTAATACTGTTGAAAGTTCTAGCGGTTTGGGACTGCTCGAAGTTATTTGTTTCCGATAACAAGCCGTCGACACTACGTTTTTCTTCTCATGTCTATTTCCCGTTGCTGTAAATACTTTAGAATTCTTGATTATGATAAGGGGGAAAAATGTGGAGTCTCAGTGCGGTGTGTTCGGATTCAGGCGCACAGGAGGCTTCCGAGTTTCTAATAACCTTTCTTTACCATTTTTTATAGTTTTATTTTCCAGTATCCCGCATTTATGAAGTATAAAGTGTATTCTGAAGTGTTGTTTTAGTTGATTTCTAGGAGTAAAATTTTGTGGTCGTAAGTCAATTTCCTTTTGTGATTACCGCGAGAGTACGACGGATTTTCTCCATGTGTCTCCCGTTCACTTGTTACACATAGTAATTCCCACACGCCTTTTGTTTTTAGTGATTACCTCAGGTTTAAAAAATTCTGGAAAAAAAATTTTTTGATTAAGTGATAAGTAGGTCCAGTTGTAGCAACAGTGGCGTTTTGATATCAAACCAAGAAAATAAGCTTATTTTGCGCAAAAAAATTTCCTTATCGCAGGTAGAGCAACACAGTTGTTTAAGAGTAAGGGGAATCTCTCAAATAATGACACGACAGTCGCAACTGTTTCGTTGCTGTCACTAAATAACATTTCTTTCTGATGGCTAAATTTTGAAGCAGTAAAAGACATTTGTGAAAGAGCACTGACATCCTTTTACAGAATATGGAACAGTAATCCCTAAGAAAATAGTAACTCTTGGCACTACAGTATCAGTTAAAAAGTTAAAATCTCCCCTAAAATTCTGCTGAAAGCAATAGAGATCAAAAAAACCCCAATTATGAGTCACATATTATAGGGGTTGTGCAATGGTAAGAACGAAATTGCTCTTCAGAACGTGTGTCGTATTTCCTCCAAGGGTCGACAAGACCTAAGGAGTCTAAATAAGAGTATATAACAGCTTTTACTCCCTCGCAGTTCCCATTCAAATTTGTTTACAGGCGTGGGGGAAGTAGAGCACTTATTTTTTTCACCGCATATTTTATATGGAAATTTTCTGTTATTGTTTTGTAACTTTTGCCACGCGGTTTTGCATAAAATCATCAAAGTGATTAAGTACAAAAGTGTTGCTAACAACTGTGTTTGGTGCTATTTATCTTTTCAGATTATTGTGGTGTATAAGGTGTAGTTTATTGTATGGCAACGACTGGATGTAAGGGCCGTAATGTCAATTGAGTCTTCTTTTCAGATGGAGTAGGTTTTTTATCCTATTTTTGGGAACAAATTTTAAGCTTGTATTTCCTTTATTATTATATAATGTGAAATATTAGGTATATTGTGCGTTTGCTTTTGTATCTGTTTTTAATATCATTTTAACTGTGGGGACAATGGTGTTTAAGTTACTCATTTAGGCACCCTTGTCAGATGTTGAATCGAGCAATCCTTTTGAGGTAGGCTTTAGGCCATCAACTTGCTTATATCCTTTGCAATTTCTGCAGAAGCTCAAAATTATGCAATTGGTGAGTAGTGTATGTTGAGCAAGCTTTTTTTTTTTGTCTCAAACCCTTTGCTTGATTTCGTAAGAATTTTTTTGTATCTGTTATTAAGTTTAATTTCGGCGTGCTATACCGGCATTTACAGTAATTTTTATTTTTCTGGTGATTCAGACTTCGTTGTCTTGGCAGCCCAATCGGCCTTGTATTCTTCTTCATTGGCCCTCAGTTACTGTTCTTTTGGATTGTGCTGTGGACATCTCAACATTATCTTCTTTTATGCCTGTAAAGCTGTATTGTGGGTCCGCATAAGTTTTCTGGTGTTTACATTATAACCAGTTTGTTGGTTTGAATACTAAATTTAAGCTTTGAATATGTACTTCGGGAAGGATTTTGAAAATAATAGAGTTCTAAACTTTTTTTTTGTAACATCAAATTTGTAATAATGGGTGGTTGTCAAAATTAAAATGCTCTAGCAAGATTCCTGTTCTATGGAAATACGCAATCTTTTATTTATTATGCATTCTATTTCACCCTTTTTAGGCCCAGGTTAAGCAACTTTTCCAGCTATAATGCTACACATACTTACTTGAAACGTTATGGGGACGAAGTTTTTGTTGACGGATCTGTTGAAGTCCATCCGACTGTTGTAATTTTTTTCATAGTTATTATAACAACTTTTCAACCTTATAAACTAATCAACAATTCCCACTCTGTTCCTCTGTAATTATGACAAATACGGTTACACTGTGTAAAGGTGTATTGGCTATACTGTTAGTGAAAACCAGTAGCTTTTTTCAGCTAGATTATGTATCGCTTGATACAGTGGATGTTATTCTTGTGTCTAACTGCATGTCGCTTTTTGCGCTTCCGTTCATGTCTGAAAAGAGCGGGTTTCGAGGTTTGATATATACTACAGGACCAGTTTTGGAACTTGGAAGGTGAAGTCGTTTTGTTTATTCAGGTTTTCAATGTGTTTTATTTTCTGAGAAACTTTTAAAATAAACTGCAACTGCTTATTTCAGACTGATGGGATTGGAATTTATAGACTTTATAGAAAGTGACGATCGGAGTTCAGCTGGTGATGAGTGGAAGAAATTCGAAATTTTCAAGTGCGAAATAGTGATATAAGAGTTATACCAATTTTTGATTTTTGTACACGACGCCGCTGAGAAACCGACTGCATAATTATTGTTGGGTTTTTGAGAAATTTTTCACTTCAACTTTTTCAGTAATTTTCCGAATAAACCTACAACCAGTCCTCAGAATTGGAAATCTTTTTATACGAGAGAGCAGTTTGAAACTGCCTTGAAAAAAGTAGATACTGTTTCGTATCACGACATGATCGTAAGTGGGTTTTATCATTAGAAATGTTTTGACGTGACACACTTTTCTGGTTATAACACGATTTATTGATCTTTGAATGGGACAAATTAAGCAAAGACTCCTCATTTATTTTACAGGAGTAATATAAGTTAGTAGTAATGCTTTCAGGACCTACACGGTATTGTTAAAATTACAGCGTATTCAAGCGGATATTCGATCGGCGCCTGTAACTGGACGATTCTTACAGAGACAGAAAAAGTTCTTCTACATTTATTTTCGTTTCTATTACTTAATTAATTGACTTGCCTATCTTTCTTATCCAACAATTTCTCTACTCCTTTCACTGGTGAGTTTGTTGTTATGAGGATTGTATTTAGGTAGTGTATGTTTCGGCTTCCTCGTCGCGAACTTCACACATGAAAGCAGCTGACTGGGATCAGTTTCGTGCCGCAGATGCTATGATACTTACCTCCATATCTCGTTTCCCAGATTTAAACCCAGAAACCTCAGTATCTTTTTCTAGATTAGTTTAAGAATTTTTCATAAAATTAATTTTGCTCATGTTTCTGAGCGTCATAGACTTGAGGTATGTAACGTCTGTGCCGTTGCTGTCGATACTTTAAAGAAAAACGGGTCTGTTTTAATGCCAGTTTCTCCAGTTGGAACGGTATACGACCTTTTGGAAGTTATCGCACATCAAATGGACCAAGTTTTTTTTTCTTTCTTTTTGTTAATTAATCCGTTATTTATGTGGAACTCCCTCAAGAATTTGCTTAGTGAGATTCAAATCTATTTCAACCTAATGTACGGTCACGAGATTGTGTACATTCACAAAAATTTTTTTAGCAAAATGTTTCGCAAGACGTGCCTATATACTTTATATCTCCAATTGCTAAAGAAACTCTAGCATTTTCTAGCATTTCAATGGAATGGCTTTCAGAAAAGAAACAAGAATGCTTTTATGTGCCGGATCAGGCATTTGCTCATGGCAGGGTATCTCTTGGTATCTTCAGAACATGGCCATTTCCTTGTTTTTGAAACTCTCATCACATTTCCTTATGTGTGAGTTTCAGATGTTGAAAAATGGGAGACTTAAGGTGTACAACACATCGCATGGAGCATTCAGTAGACAAATGCGGACTCCCTGTGTTATCTTCTGTGGACATCCTTCTTTGCGACTTGGCGATGCAATACATTTCCTGGAGATGTGGGGCCGCGATGCCCGAAATGCCATCATAATGACTGGTGTGTTATTAGGCGAGGTTTTAATAGTAGTTGTATTGGAGATCCATATTCCACTACTCAGCTGTGTTGCGCGAGAAGTTTCTCAAGAAGAAATTTTTTTTAAAATTAAGTTTTGTTCGTTTTCCTACTTGTTTCCTCAGATCCCGACTACCCTCTGGGAGACGTATACGGCCCGTATCGCAACTTAGCAATACGAGCATTCTTTTATCCAATTGATACCAGGTTGGACTATATGCAGTTAAATTCTGCCATCATACCTGACTTGGCACCTAAATTAATTCTTATGCCAGATATCTACAGCAGACCACCACCCGCATGTCCACAGAGATTAGAATGTGCCATCAATTATGTTAGCAGATTTTATCTTTGTTATTTTTTTGTTCAGGAAGAAGAAATTTTGTTACTTTTTTTAACAGTAACAAGAATTTTCCTGGAGTTTTATACTGCAGGATCCAAAGATTACATTTCGTGTTGGGGAGACTCTTAATGTTCCTTCTATAATGAGAAGAAAACGAGTGAGCTTGACGCCTGAGGTATGATCGGAGATCACTTTAGTTTATCGGATAGAATAATTGACATTTTTTTTCCTTTCTTTTTCTTTGCGAGGCCCATAGCTAAATCACTTCCTAATAGTTTGGCGGACAATTTTTTTTTAGTACTTCCCAGAAGCTGTTTTCCGCGCCCCTCAAGGAACGAATGGCTTGGGTTTAGCATCTCTTGATGGTTTTTTGTCTGCATTTGACAACAACTTCGTCCTCAAGGTATTTTAAGTAGTAATTTGTCTTACTAGAGAATCTCTCAATATACTTTTAGTTTGCTTCAGGTCCCTATAAGTCTTGAACGTTTTGAGAAGCATGTTTACAGCAACAAGAAGCATGGAAAATACTAGCAAACTTTTTCACTAGCTCACCTTGTATAGCTGTCTTTTGAAAAAGCTGAGTGGTGTTATAAGGTTTAATTACTTGGAAGTATAATATATCATTCAATTTTTTTTCAGTCATATACTCCTGTTGAGACGACAGTGGATCATTTCCGCAAAAGACCGAAATTAGTGGGGAGTTACAGTTTGGAAATTTTGCAACAAAGGCTCTGTGAGGTATGTTGAGACCATCCCAGTTTTTAGGGAGGTAAATACTTTTATTATTTTAGGTAGACCCACATGCAGTAATGAGGACCGTGGACGGAGGGAAAACACTGCATCTGGTATTTCAATTCCACATTTACTTAGTCGCCAGTTAAAATTTAGCAGTAGACATTTGACCAACTTAGCACTATTTTGCAGAAGCTTAAATTTATTGTAGCCCTCACTGGGTGCAGATGTGCGAGTGATGGATGATGGTTTCCGAACGCAGATCATATGCGAATCAGGAGAAGGGCGCCAGAAGATTTTTGAAGCTGTAAGTCTCTGTCTCAAGCAACTGTGCAGCGCTTAACAGCCGTGGATGCTACAAGTGCTGACTAATCAATGTTAGCTGGACTGGTTTCTGTGGACCAGTTATCGAGTGGAGCGGTCGTTAAAGATAACAATAAACACCGTGGTCTACTCAATCCGTCCTAATCTTTTTCACTGTGGGGACTACAAATTTGATCTGACTGCGGTTTTCCAAAAAGCACAGTGAACCAGACGGTGGGGTATTTTTAACACTAACAAGGGGTAAAGAACAACAAGTGCTATAACAATTTAATAAAAACCCATTGGTAACAAAGAACCTTCCAAAACAAGGCAACGTTAAACTCTCCTGAGGTACAGCATTAGAAAACGGCACCTGTTATAAAAGAAAACCCAACTAGTGAAGACGCATAAATACAAATTCTAGTCAGTGATGCGGTCACAAATTTGAGGATAAGGTGTAAAAGGAAATGAAGGCCCTAGTTGTTAGTGATCCAAGATTCGCAAGTTCCCAGAAACAATTTTGTTCTCCAATATGGTTCCCGGGGCGATATCTATACGGTCTCCGTGGTTCGCAATAATTATTACAGTTCCCTAAACCGAAAGTACAGAAACGTATTTCCATTGTACACAACTAAATGGAATGAAACGTACCTTTAAAGAAACGTTTTTCCCGAACCAAACATCACCAGAAACTGTCAGGTGGTCTAATTCCAGTAAGTCTGGGATCCCATCAAACCTTGTCAAAAAATCTTTAACCTTAAAAAGAGAATTCAGTGCAAGGGGTAATTGAGGGATAAAAGTTCACAGTTAGAGAGGTGCCACTAGTCTTATAATACCTTGTCAAAGTACGTCCCTAGTTTCACTAACGGCGTTGTCCTGAAGGGGCGAAGAGAACTTAATGTGAGGCTCCCACTTTCAATGTCGTACAGATTTGACATCAGCAACAACAAGTCAGACGTTTTTTTCACTGGCAAGAAACGTGACCTTGGCACGTTAACACCTTAAAGAATTCTTTTTTTAATTTGGAAACGCAAATTTCTTGTTAAAAGCATTATATAATAGGTCGTAGTTTGAGACTGGACATCGATAAGCATTAAAATCTGCCTCTGATGTTTCTAATATTAAAAGTGTTGTACTGCAGAAGCTTAACGGAGTTGAACAGTCCCAAATAGCAAGTTACAGAAGCTGTTTTTTTTTTTGCATTTTAGTCTACTTCCAATTGCACATTTACGCAGGGTTTTATTCTTCACATGTAAGCTGAGCGTATAGCGGTCTGCCAGACTTAAACAGTGCACATAAATTAGAAAGGTATGATTTGACAGGAAATGCTTCCAACACTTTTATTAATAAATTTTTTGAGCTTGTCAAATCGAAACACCATGGAACCTTACCACAAGCTCCTTTAAAGCTTTGAATCGCAGCACCAACAGCAGTTTCCAGCTGAATTATGTCTATACCCCTTTCCAAGTGCTTTGGATTCACTATGACCTCCATTTGCAACTCTTTGTTCTCAATCGTTCGTTTTATGGCATCCAATTTGGACCACAAGTTATTCGTATTGAATATACTATAACGATTATGAAAATTTACAAGTGATATTAAAGCCAAGTTTAAGAATCTGAGTTTCTTTTAAAAAAATTATTTGCAACGCACTAACCTGAACTTGCTGACGCTTTTAAACTCTTCTACATAATCTTTTGGGACTTGTGCAATTTCCAGCAACATCATACGATTTTCATATTGAATAAGAGTACCACCCTGTAACACTAATTTCTTTCGGTTCATAATTGAATGGAAAAGCTCTTAAACAATTTTTCAGTAAGCTTGCCCTCATCTGCTACAGTTATCCAAACAACTGTACCAGCAGCAGAACAATGAAGAAGACGTAACCAAGAAGCAACAAAATGAAGATTTATCTAGGTTCCAAGTTATTGACCCATGCTAAAAAAATACCTTCACATCTGCTCGAGTCTTGTTAGTAACTTCCATAACAAATTCGGATCCCTGCCCATTCGCACCGCTGCAGACAAAGTCCAAAATTTTCAAATCAACTGTTGCTCCCATGTTATCAATGTTGGAGATAAAACACCACTACAGAATTAGAAGCACATTACTCACTACACCTTCAAACGCGTCTAACCCATTAGATATAAAAACTTCAGAAGATATCATAAAAATCCGCTACCTCTTTCCCTTGTTGTATGAACTTGTCCAACAGGCCAGAGTTGTAAAAAGCTTCATAAAAGTTTCCATGACCTGGCGGATACCACCTAAAAAACTGGCTATTATACTTCAACGCTTGCAGTACAGAAGATGACAGATCGACCAGTTACCAACAATAAATAGAATTTTATAACAGCGGTAGGTAGAAACCAACCCTTCAAGATCATTGTTCGTAACGTTTTTAACAATGGGCATCATGGACTCCTTCGAAATTCTGGGGTATTTCGATTGACAAAATGTATGGACTTCCACTCTTACATTAGCATACTTTCGCAGAAGTTTCAAAGTGTCTTCATCAGTGTTGAAGGAATTCATGAGGACCAAAGGAACATTAACATTGTATGTTCGATTTAGATGCTAAAAGGCTCTTGACTTTGACCCAAAAATAATTTTCTAAGTTTGCAGCCACTCTATTTGTGGCTGCTTGCGTTTTGTAGAACTTTAAAGAACTTTTTATTTTAACAGGTATCCACTAATTCATAAACAGCTTTCCAGTGACTCTTCATTTATTACTATTTTAAAGTTAAAGCAGTTCTTTTTTTTCACTAGAAAACCAGATTATTTTACTTAGTTTAACCTAACCTGAATTTGTTGCATAGTAAGGTCCAAAAATGTAAGTTCGTTCCGGACAGATATGATCGATTTAGGGCCTTTACATCCCATTGAAGTCCCAAGACCACCATTCAGTTTGACCACCACTAACTTATTCAACCGTTCACTTATAGCTTCCTTGCTCGGCTCTCTGAGCTAAATTACTTATAAAATTAGCACATATAAGAAAACGTTCGTGATAATCAGTTTACCTCTTCGTACTGTATGATTGCATGTTCTGGAAGAGGGTTTATTTTTTTCCAGTCAACAGTCGGTTTCACCTTCAGGAACCTTGTGAATAAATTTAGAAATCCATCCAATTCCTTTTTTACACTCTGCAATTTTCATTACTTCTTGTTAGAATCTGAACCAAAAAAAACGCCAAAATATCACAGTTGAAAGATAAAAGACTGAAAACTTTTACCCGATTAAAAGCTCACGACTAAAAGGGAAGATTGGTACTCATCAGTGAAAAAAGCTGAGCTTTTTTAGGTCCATTTCCAGTAGCACATTTTCCTTCTAACTGCATCTTTTTTCCTCTCTTATTTCTTATAGAATTCATTCACGAAAGCAAAAAAAGAATTTGAAGTACGGTGAAGCGGTTGAAAAATGAGCAGAAATTTCAAATTGCATTTTTGAAGCCCATTGTTTTGAAAAACTGCAGCATATGCCCGACAGCCCATCATCCAAAGAGCAGTTTTCTCCACCGCAAAGAGTTATTTAAGCATTCAACGATTAAGGAGATTAAAACTGCACGCTACGAAGAGAAATGCAAGTCAGACGAAAATTTTAAGTCTTGTAA